AATGTTCACAGTTGTCTACAAATACATTCACAAAATTCTAAAACATCACGGGATTTGGAAATGCATGAGTTTTAGAAAATTGTTGATGATTATTAAAAATTTCCAATCAGATTAATAGCAATAACTGTTCACAAGTTTCTAAAAAATGTTTCACGCTTTTTATAAATAAGGAAAAACAGGAAAAAATAAATGAAAAAAATGGCCCGATGAGAAAAGATAGAAAACAGCTGAAAAGGCAGGGAATATCCGGAAATAGAAATGCACAAAAATCGGAGAAAACTCCGAAATCACTAATTGAGGAGTACTCTTTGCAAAGATTACTCCTACCTACTTAGGTTGTGACAAGTGGCGTACTATGTGCGCCACTTGTCGCAACTCGGGAGTTTTCCCTTTTTTCATAGATCCGTTTATTCAAAACGTTTTATCTCTTAAACCGTGTGTCCGAATCTCGAACCGTTTTCACCGTTGGATTCCTGGCGTCGAGATCTTCAAAACAAAAACCCATGTTGATAAGTTGCGACGAAGTTTCTTTTCACAAAAAAACCGAACATGAAAACCAAACAAAAAACCGTACCGATAGCACGGTTTTTTCCCTTTTCGAAAAAAGCACGGCCGTGCCTCCCACAAAAACACAACCGTGTCTCTCACGCAAGCAAAACCGTGCCTTTCGTGGAAAAAGACAGAAAACATGTTTTTTTTTCGTTTCCGAGAGGCACGGCCTTGCCTCTCGCGAAAGCAAACCATGCCTCTCGCGGAAGAAAAACCGTCCCTCTCGCGGAAGCAATAAAAACAGAAAAAATGTTTTTCTCGTTTTCGAGAGGCATGACCGTGCCTCTCGCGGAAGCAAAACCATGCCCCCCGCGGAAAGCAAAACCGTGCCTCTCGCGGAAGAAAAAAACAAAAAAGTGTATTTCTTTTCTGTTTCCGAGAGGCACAACCATGCCTCTCACGAAAGCAAAACCTTGTCTCTCGCAGAAGTAAAATTGTGCCTCTCACAGAAGAAAAAACCCGAAAATACATTTTTTTTCGTTTTCGAGAGGCGCGACCGTGCCTCTCGGGAAAGCAAAATGTGCCTCTCACGGAAGCAAAACCGTGCCTCCCGCGAAAGGAATAAAAAAAACAAAAAAAACATGTTTTTTTTTTCGTTTCCGAGAGGCGCGACCGTGCCTCTCGCGAAAGCAAAACCGTGCCTCTTGCGGAGGAAGAAAACAAAAAATGTGTTTTTTCCGTTTCATAGAGGCACGGCCGTGCCTCTCGTGAAAGTAAAACTGTGCCTCTCGTAGAAGCAAAACTGTGTCTCTCACAGAAGAAAAACAAATAAAAAACGCATATTTTTTTCGTTCCGTGCCTCTCGTGGAAGCAAGAAAAACGCATTTTTTGCACAATTTTTTTATCTTCGATTTTTATTTCAAGAGCTAAGGAAGACCAGTGGAAAACCGAAAAGTCAAGAAAACCCTGAAAAAAACCGTTTAAAAGCCAAAAACACGTGCGGATAAATAAAAGACAAAATTTAGAGGGAGCGTCCAGAGTGCGACACATGGCGGTGATCATTGCCAGGCTCCTGAAGCAAACTAGTTGCTCCCAGAAAACCCAGGATAGACAAAATTGCTGAAAATGGCAGAAACACGCAAATACTCCCTCCGTTCGGAATTACTTGTCTCGGAAATGGATGTATCTAGATGTATTTTAGTTCTAGATACATCCATTTCCGAGACAAGTAATTCGGAACGGAGGAAGTAGATGATACATACCATTAGGGCACACTATTCTTCACTACGAGCGAGGAATGAACTATTCCTCCTTCGACCACCGCTTCAGCAGCTTTCGCTTGGCGGGCTAATACAGAACTAGATCCTGAGCCGCAACTGAAATCTAAACTATTGAAAGTAGGGGAAAAAAATCCAGGTCTTGGGTGCCCAGGATCACGGCGGGAGCTCTTATTTGACGCGTGAGCTCCCCTCAAAAGATATTGGCGCATGAGGTGCTGGGGAATATGCCAGCACTCACCCCATCTCCTCCAGTATTTTTTTTTTTGCCTTTTGCCTTTTGCTTTTTTCTGTTTTAATTTTTCTTCTTTAAAATAATTACAAATTTTTAGAAAAAGTTCTAAATTTTAAAAGGTGAATTTTGGAAAAATGTTATAGAAATCATCAGATGTTTGTGGTTTAAAAAATGCTCGTGATTTTGAAACAAATGTTCATGCATTGAAAAAAGTCCATGAATTCCAAAAATATTCATGAATTTGACGAAAACAGTCATCGATTCAAATATTGTTCTGCGATTCAAAATTGTTAGCGATTCCACACAACCGCGCGCGTTGTTGAACAAAATTTAAATGCAGTGAAATTGGAAAGGAGCAGGAACCCGTTCATGCAGTGAAATTGCCGGCGAACAGCGAGCAAACCTGAGATGGGCCCTCGCACCGTGTGTGCGGTCCAGCCCATTTAGCTAGCTTGGTGGATTGGAGAAATGGGCAAAAGTTTTTGAATTTCGACAAATGTTCAAGAAGGTTTTGAAATACTTTCACCCCTGCACATATACCCCTACAAAAAACCTACACATATATGCACAGTCATCCCTGAAAAAACATATATGCACGCTCACTCTTATGATCGATCGGTTTTGTCCTACTTCCGTCCACGGACAACAAATTAAAATGTACTGACCAAACAAAGTAGCCCTCGAAAAAACGAAATATAACTGACCAAACAAGGTGTAAACCTGTGCAGACAATTCATGGTGACGGCATTCCTCACGCTCGTTGCACTCTTCTTCCTCCTATAAATACACGGTGGTAATACACCACTCAAATATGCACCCACTCCGCTAACTATTACCTCCATACGTGTATCCGCCTTGGATCACGTCGTTGATGCAATTTTTTGTTTAGGTCTTTTACTGTTTCATTTTTATACCATTGACCTATCTCTTCTTTCTAGAAAAAAAAAAGAGATAGGTCAATGATACAAATGAAACAATAACAAAATTCTAACTTCGCGCCATTGGCAAGGGAAGAAAGGGAGATTGGACTTGGAAGATGTACTTACAGGAGGAATTTGGGGCAGTTTGCGAGGAACATAGGGGAGGCGATAAGTGAGCCAAGTTTCAAGTGATCGAAACGAACTACCTTCTGGCCTCGACGGGAGGCCTTATTGATTGTCTTGTGTGACAAATATGCGCTATAACCTGCGGTGGCCCGGCCCGAATAGCATTGTACTGCAGCTCCTTCGCTCTTTCACCCATGCCGTCCTACACATACATCAGCTGTGAAAAACAGGTTAAAATCAGCAACTCCTCATTCATGAAAAAACGGTTTTGCAGATTAAACGTATATTAATGAAATAAGAAAATTGATATATTTTTAAAAAAATGTCTCATTTTAAAAAATTATGGGATATTAAAAATGTTCATGAATTTTCAAAATCTTAGAATTTAACTAAAAAATCATGAATTTATAAAATATTCATGACTTGTAAGGAATTGTTCTTGATCATTTTCAAAAATCTGCAAGCAAGATATGAAAAAAAGAAAACACAAATGAAATGGGCACTAAATTTCGCTTCGAGTGAAGAATAACATTTTCCGCTCTCAAGCTCCACTTCAGCTTTGTTTGGAGGGCTAATGCTGGATTGGAACCTAGGGCGTAAAACCGTTAAAGTTAAGGAAGAAAACTACAAGCCCTGGCCCACGGCCCTGTGTGCCTAGCTTCCGAATCCCTATTTGCCGAGAGCGGCTAACTAATGGGTACACCTTCAAGGGCTCCCATAAAGGTCACTTTTTTTGTCTAGGTGGATGCTCCCTCTGGATTTTCAGTTTTTCCTGTACGTGTTTTTGGGTTTTAGATGTTTTTTTAGATTCTTTCGACTGTTTGGTTTTTGTCTGGTTTCCCGTATGCTTTGAAAGTTTTTTTCGGAAGGAGTGCTTTCCCACAAGAAGAATGACATGTGCTTCTGCAAGCACATCTGTGACAAAAGCACAACATGTGCTTTCACGAGAAACACAACTGTAATTTCCAAAAAGGAAACACACAATTGTGCTTCTGTGAGAAGCACAACCTGCTCTTCCACGAGAAACAAAGTTGTGCTTCCCTGAAAAAGGGGAAAGCACAATGTGTGCTTCCACGAAAAGCGCAACTATGCTTCCCGAAAAAATGCACGGTTGTGCTTTCGAAAAAGAAGAAAAATCACAACTATTATTCTAGTATTTTTGGTTTATTTTTTTGGTTTTGGTCTTTTTCCGGTTCCATTTTTTCATTTCTGTTATTTTTCAGTTCCTGTTTAATCCCAAATTCTTTGGGTTTTTTTGTGAAAAATAGTTTGTTGAAATCTATTAAAATGAGATCTAGTTTCCAAATGCTTGTACTTACGAAAAATCATTGAAATTTTGAAAACATTTCATGTTTTAAAAAAAATCAGAATTTCAAAAATGTGTTTGTGTTCTTTTTATAAATAAAAGGGGAGCTCAAAAGGCTTAAATTTTCAAAAGAAATTACAGAATTTCCAATTTTGATTGTGTTTTTCAGAAACAATTGGAAATTTCAAAAATTGCACGTGCTTTCCAAAAAAATGTTCGAGTTTCTAAAAATAGATTCAGGACTAAAAATATATTTTTCCCCAAAATTTGTTCACATAGTTTTCTGAAAATGCTCGCTACAGTATTTAAACGGTAGCTACGTCACTCTAATACTCGGCCGCCACGGTGCGGCTCGCAGCTGTGACGTAGCGAGCGTCACAGAGGACGTCCCCCTAGCTTTGGCGACTGTGATTGGTGACCAAACAAGAACAAGGCAGCTCCCCAAAGAAAATCAATACGTAACTGAGCAAACAAGGTGTAAACCTGCACAGACAATTCATGGCGACGGCTTTCCTCACGCCCGTCGCACTCTTCTTCCTCCTATAAATACACGCGATGGCAATACGCCGCTCAAACACGCACCCACTCCGCTAACTATTACCTGCATACGTATATCCGCCGGTGATCGCGAGCTTCCAGCCAACAGGATGAGCGGGACCAAGTCGTCGTGGCCGGAGCTGGTGGGCATCCTGGCGACGCTGGCGGCCACGCAGATCGCGCGCGACAGGCCCGACGTCGCCGTCGAGGTTCTGCCGCCGGGCGCCCCGCTTACACCAGACTACAACGCCGAGCGCGTCCGCGTCTTCATCGACAACAACGGCATCGTCTCCCAGACCCCGGTCATCGGCTAGGCTCCCGGCCGTTGATGGAACGTACGAAACCAGCATGCATGTACGCTCGACCGTCGTTACTGCAGTGCACTAGTACTGCTGCGACTGTATACGCTATAATAATGAAATAATGAATACCGTATATGCTATGCTCCTCTCCTTTCGGTTTCCTCTTTATAAGCCGATTTGTTTGACCTGTGAACATATCTGTCAGGTTTTTTGTTTAATTTATATACTTGACATTGGTGCTCGTATTTATAATACCTAAATAGTTGATCCCCACTAACTCTTTCTCTCAGCATGCAGCCCTCCACATCAGCAAATGTGCCAGATCATCATCCATTAAAACTATTTTATAAGACATGCATACCACAATTTAATTGTTTCATCTCCAATGGTCCAACGTTCATGTATACTCTTTGTTCACATAGAATTACTTCAAAAAATAATAGCTTTTGATTTAAATTATTTAATTCATATAAAATTTATCCAAAATAAATCTTTAAAATCCCGCAGCAATGCGCAGGGAAATCACCTAGTTAATTCAATGCGAGGAGACGTTTCCTTCCACTACCAAGGCTCTTGTAGGTACTTTGTCAATGTTAAGATGTTGTGACATCTCAGTATCTCGTAGGTGCTCATTGGGATAGATTGTTCATAGGTTCATAGGGTTGAGTGTATGTGTGTATATGTGATCAACTATGATTGTACCGTGTTAAAAAAATAGCCGATTTGTTAAGTCAAAAGATAGAAAATATTAACCGAGCAAAATGGCTAGAATACCACTAACCCGAAGCAGAATATGAAAACAAGTCACTATACCAAACATAAGGCGACCTGGACTACCGAACCGGAACTGAACCAAGCCGCCTTGGAAAACCACCGGACCCCGACGCATCTAACACACCAAGCAATCACTGAAGAAGGCAAGCGTCTACCCTCTTGTTGGGGGTCATGGAGCTCGGATCCTGCCTATACACCATGAGGAACAAGAACTGTTGGGGATATGACTACCAGATATGACCCGCCCAGGAGGGGCCGGGTCAACCACAATGGCGGTTTACCTAAATAAAGCCCAAGAGTATACAAGATGACGGTTCAAAGTTAGGCTTATAATAGGCCCAAGCCCAGAGGCGGCTTAAGGCCCGTAAGTATAAACCGCCATGTATGAATAGACTTGTAATGTAAGGCATGTAAGATACGTCACCGAGCCGGACACATTGTATGAGCCGGCCGGGACTCTGTAGGCCGCAGGGCGTCAACCCGTGTATATAAGGGGACGTCCCGGCGGCTGCTTAAGACAAGAAACAACAGATCAAGAGCCAGGTTAAGCGTATTCGCTCCTTGGTCATCGAAACCTAGCAATACCATATCAACTGGACTAGGCCTTTACCTTCACTGCAAGGGGCCGAACCAGTATAAACCTCTCGTGTCCTTTCTCCCGTTTAACCCCTAGCTTTAAGCTTCCTAGTTGTGATGGCTCCATGACTAAGTCCTTTCACTAGGACATCTGTCGTGACAATTCCACGATAGTTGGCACCCACCGTGGGGCCAGCGCACGGTGGATCTGAGTTCTTGAAGGGCAGCTTCAAAGGGCTCAAGGGATATGCTGTGGGCCGGATGACCAAGAGTCGTCGCGGCAAGCTCTACATCGACGACGCAAGCTGGGACCGCGATGCCGGCTCAATTGAGTACGGGTACCGGGTCCCCTTCGGCAGGATCCATGTCTTCATCGGCCGGATCGGCGAGCCGGGTCCCGAGCCGGACATCTGCGCCGACATCATCGAGATGGCTCAGTGTGCGAGACCCGCCCAGGCTCAGCCGGCTGTGAAGCATGCCTTCGTGGGATGCATCCATGGAGGGGAATTTTCTGAAAGATCTGTGTCTGGTGGCGATACGGCCGTCCAATCTGATGGCGAGTCATCCACGGGTGAGACAGATTCGTTGTATCAACTGCAAGATGGTGGGCTTGGGGGTTGTTCCGATGGCAGCAGTATTCCGGACCCCTTTGAGCCGCCGAGCAGAGCGGGGATCTTCATGACTGGCACACAGCCCGTTCAAAACTCTACGGCTGCGCCAGCGATAACGACCGGGTCAACGGCGGCCGGGGCAGGAGGCCCCACGCGCCCGCCGGCTCAGGTGCTGATTGATCTCATGGATAGGATGACAACCCTGTTGACTACCGTGGTTGAACCATCGGATCAGGCTCAGCACGATGCGGAAGTGGCACGGTTACGTGAGGTAGTACAAGCCAAAGAAAACTTAGCAGCGGAGGACGTCAGGATGGCTGCAGAGCGGGCGGCTTTGGATGCTCGAGCTCAGCAGCTTCAATCAGAGGCTTTTCGGCTCACGATGGATCTGAACGCATCAAACGAGGTCATTAGAAGAAGACACCAGAAGACTCAGTCACGTCTGCCTCTGACTTACGATCTTAGAAATCTCTTCCACACACCCGGTGCAGACCCCAGTAACCCGCCAGAGGTGAACCAGGTCGCAATGCCCGGGGCTGGGGCGCCGGTTCAGCCACGGGCTATGGAACCCCCTCATGTGAATACTGCTACACCTCATTATGTACCAACACCACCGGGTCATTATTCTAACCCTTTGGAGAACATGATCGCTGCGGCGGCGCGATTGGCGGCTCTTCCAGCGGAGGGTAACTCTCCAACAGCGATTGAGACCCGAAGGGTCAGAGAACTTCTTCAGACGGCTCTGGCACAGCAGGAGGCTTATTCTTATAGTAAAGACAGGATTCATTCGACCCCACACCCAAGCCGGAGCCCGAGTTATAGCAGGCACATGGATTCAGCAGCCGTCTCAAGCAACTCCCGGCGCCGTGACCAGCCGCGCGGGCATAACCCGGCGCGGGATGGAGCCCTTAACTTGGTTGACCAGGATAGGATCTGCCAAGAGGCTGAGCGGGCGGTTCAACAGGCAGCTGAGCAGGCGGCTCACTAGGCATTTCCAGTTTATCCGGCGACCTCTGTTGAGGCATGCGTGGCCACAAGGACAGGATGTGTTCCTTGCTTGGTGCCGGCTCTGCGTAATGAGCGTTTGCTAAAGGATTTCAAGGGGCCTCGGAAGGTTCCCAATTACACGGCCGATTTACAGCCAGGGGCATGGATTGAAAGCTATGAGATGGCCATGGAGCTGTTGGAGGTCAGTGACGCGGCAATGGCCAAGTACTTCACTATGATGTTAGATGGAATGGCTCGCAATTGGTTGAAGGGGTTGCCACCCAATTCCATCGGCTCATGGGCAGAATTAAAGGCCCGGTTTATTCAGAATTTTGAAGACACTTGCAAGCAGCCCATGTCAATTATGGATTTAACTAACTGTAAGCAAGAGGAAGGAGAGTCCATGACCCATTGGGTGCGTCGACTCAAAGCTATAATACATTCATCTCATAAGATGGATGCCGGCTCTGCAGTCTTAATGTTGGAGAAAAAATGTCGTTTTACGCCTCTAAAACAGAAGCTGGGGCGGCTCAAACGCGATTGTAATGACATGGGCCAGCTGATGGCAGCTTTAGTCAAGTATGCCGACTCTGATAGTACCAAGGATCCCGAGTCTGACGAAGAGAAGACAGGGAAGGGAAAGAAGAACGGCAAGGGTCATCAGTATAACCCGGCAAATCAGGGAGGCAATAATAAACGTAAGGCTGACTGTAGTTTTGAGTTTATGGCTAACACCAATACACAGGGCAACAATCAGCGACGTAAGGGGAGGCCACCTCCTTAGTCCGGCGGGTCAGGTCCCACTCTTGAGTAGCTGTTAAATGAGCCTTGTCCAAGACACGACACTCAGCAGAAACCGGCCACTCACCTGTGGAAGGACTGTACGATCATGAAGGCTTTCAAGAACTCGAACATGTTCAATAGCAATCATGGGCCGGGCGGTGGCTCAGGCGGCGGCGGTTTTCATGATCACTAGGGGGCTTCCTGTTCAAACATAGGTCGTATTCGAACCAAAGAGAACATAACTGTTGGTACCCTCTTGATCAGCGCAATGCCAAACTCACTAGGGGGCTTCTTGATCGTATTCGAATCACAGCTTAACCCCTTTTGGGTCCGACTTGGATCGTATTCGAATCAGGGTCGTTAAAAACCTCTTAAGGTCATTTGGGGGCTTCCTGTTCAAACATAGGTCGTATTTGAACCAAAAAGAACATAGCTGTCGGTACCCTCTTGATCGGCGCAACGCCGAAGCCACTGGGGGCTACATGATCGTATTCGAATCCTAGCTTAACCCCTTTGGTTCAGTTTACGAATCGTATCCGAATCAGAAGCCTCCAAATTTTTCTTGGTGTTTGACTTACATTGTTTGAAAGACAATCTTTTGTTTTTTGGTTTTGTTGTCTAAATCTAAGTGTAAGTATGGTTTCAATTTAAACCGGCTTGGTTTTTTGACGATGAATTGCCAGTGTATAATAGTCATCATACATATGGAAGTATTGGCTTTTAAAGATTGGGTTATCACCCTTACTGTTCAGGTCACATAAGCCGGCAGTCCAGATTCAAGATTACATATATGATATTGTCGTTAAAATTCATAACAGGCCTATCTGTGTTTTCTTCAATCACGGGCTTTCCATCCTTAATTATCCTTACATCCAGCCTTAATTATACAGTTATGTTAGTTTCCATGGTTGTGCACTGGGCGTTTTGACCCGTCCGGCGAGAAACCGCCAGGACAATTTTCATATCTTCTGTGCAGGAACAGATTCACACAATATTGATATTGTAAAGGATGAACGGCATATCCTCACATTATAGATAAAAGTGATGTACGAGGCACAATATGCATGATGGCATAAGCAGAACATGAAGTTTTAAGCTAGCCTATTACAAGTCACTTGGAGTCCAAAAGGATAATACTCTTTTTTCTCATAAGCAGATGATAGACTAAAGTCGGTTCATCAATCCTGGCCGGGTTGTTTGGATGGTTACGACTCATCCCTTGCCGGTTCGTCCTCCTCCATCGTTTGGAAATTAGGCTTGGACTAATCAAAGCCATGAAGA